GCCAAGGAGGGCAGCGAGGGGGCCACAAAGGGTGACAGCGGGGGTACGGAGGGCAGTGCTGCGACAAAAAATCCCCACCGGCCCATCCAGAAACAATGTCCAGGCGAGTTGAGGTGATCAGGGAAGTGCGTGAGCAAAGAGGGGGACGGTCGAACCGTGCGAAGGAGGGAAAAGGAGAAGATGAAGGCTGGATGGATGGATGAGGAAGTGGGGAGAAGGATGATGAACAGGATGAGGAAGGAGGATGAGGAGGAAGAGAAGGAGTAGGAGGAGGAGGAAGGAGGAGCAGGAGGAGGACGGCAAGTAAAAGGGCCAGAGGTCTCTAGGATGCTTCTCGGAGCCTCTTGGGATATCTCTTGGGCACGTCTTGGTGGCCCCTTGGGACGTCTTGTGGGGTCGCTTCGCGGTCCTGGGTGGGAGCATCTTGGGGCCTCTTGGGGCCTCCTGGGTGCTTCTTGGGGCCATTTCGGAGGACATCGATCAAACAAGTGGGGTTCACCAATTACTGTTCCACTCGGGGACCCCAAAAATGGTTTCTTGGGGCGCTCTTGGAGCGCTCTTGTGCGCTCTTGGGGTCGTCTTGAGGCTCTCTTGGGCCTCTCCTGGGGCCCTCTTGGGCCATCTTGGAGCAATCTTGGAGCAATCTGATGCCCATCGGAAGCGTGAAGGCGAGAAGGCACAACTCATTGGTTGTCCTAAGGTTTTGGAAGGATGTTGGCTTCTTGGAGGCCTCCTTGGATGTCTCGGAGGCCTCGTTGAGCCGTCTTGGAACCTTCTTGGATCCTCTTGGAGCAGCTTGGAAGCCATCTTGAGGCATCTCGGGCTATCTTGAGCCATCTTGGAGGTCATCTTGGGCTCTCAGAGGCCCTCTTGGAGCCGCCTTGGGCCATCTTGGACGCTCTTACCGCTCGCGACCGGCCCCGTCCAGGTCCAGGTGAGCGGGCAGGGGAGGGGTAAGCCCCTCCCGAAGGGGAAGAAGGGGGTTGGAAGAGAAAACACTCTAGACCACTTTACGCCCGAAGGCGCTGGTGGGAGTGTGAGGAGGTCTCAGGCGATAGTGCTATTCCTGAGCAAATTGTAATGAAGTCTCCAGCGATGCTTCTCTGGTTTAAAATAAACTGTGAGGAAGCATCAGGCGGGAACCGTTGTTGTTGTTGTTGTTGTTGTTGTTGTTGTTGTTGTTGTTGTTGTTGTTGTTGTTGTTGTTGTTGTTGTTGTTGTTGTTGTTGTTTTTGTTGTTGTTGTTGTAATTCGGGGGCCAAGGGCGTAGCTTGACGCTCAAGATTTTCCAGGATAAATAGGTGCGAGCCCCAGGAGCGGCACTTCAATTGAAAAATACAATGTGCACCGGGCAGGGGGGATCAACAACAATTATTGTGCAGAACTGAGAACTCAACAACAACAACAACAACAACACCACCGACAACAACAACAGCAACCACAACAACAACGACAACACTAACAACAACAACGCAACACCAACAATAATAACTCGACTTGCAACAACACCAACAACAACAGCCACACCAGCAACAGCAACAACCCTAACAAACAACCAACACCAGTAGCAGCAACACCAGTCTCAGTAACAACATCGAACATCACAACAGCAACAACATCATCAACAGTAACAGCAATACGTCTAAGGCGATTAGCTCTTATCTGATCGCGTGCCATTCAGCACGTATATCCCAAACCCTCAGTACCCGCCATATTCGCCTTCGATTGTAACCCCCCTTGGGGCTATATCTTCCTTACCTACCGCGTATAGTTGGCGCAGCCCCTGAAACAGTGGAAGAGAGGACGGATGGAAAGGGGGAGGAAGAAGGATTGAGCACGAGAGAGATTAGCAGGAGGGGGTTAGGACCAGATCACCCGTGGCAGAACCAGACGGGCAGATCGGGCGGGTAGACCCTGATGGGCCGGTCGGGAAGGCAGGACCAGGCGGCCAGGCCGAGCAGGCGGGTTGCCGAAGCGTGAGCATGAATCGCGAGAAAGTTTCGAGCGATAGCGCGATTCCCAAGTAAATCGTGAGAAAAGGCCAGGGCGACAGCGTGACTCCTAAGGGTTGGAGGCGCGACGCCGGAATTAATTGCGAGGACGTCCCACGCGAGAGCGCGTTTCTGCATGCATTATGAGGAAGTCCCGCGCGAGAGCGCGTATTTGAAATACATCGTGGGGAAGTATCATGCGGGAGCCGTTGCTGTTGCAACTCGGGGGCCAGGGGCCCAGTGTGGTGACATCTCGTGTTCCCTTATGAAAACCGGGTGCGAGCACCGGGAGGAGTCGTTTCATTGAGAAATAGCATGGTTACCAGGAGGGGTGGACCAACAATAATCATTCATCACATGTGAGAATTCAACAACAACGACGACAACAGCAGCAACAGCAGCAACAGCATCAGCAACAGCAGCAGCAGCACCACCACCATCACTGACAACAACAATAACAGCAGCAACAACGACAATCTGCACCGCAGAACCTCACTCCAGCCACGCCCCCAGGGACAGTGAATGACCGTTCGGCCTCCTCACTCTGATAGCATTTACCAAGATATCTCATTCGTTTTTTCGACGTCGATGAGTTCTTCCTACCAGGTGCGCTCGAAAAGCGGTGCCGCGCGCACCCGAGTGCCCCCATCAGTTTTCACTCCACGGCGCTTTGGTAACTGGGTTTCTGTCGATCCTCGACACAGAGGGGGCCCTCAAGACGGCCGAGGGCGGCCCGAAAAGAGCCCCCGAGGTGAGGGGGCCCGGTGCAGATTGCGTTCTGCGGCTCACCTTCCACGAGTCCGTCCCGCCACCATGCCCGCGTCTCGGGCGGGAGGCGAGAGCGTCGTCACCTCACGCAGGTGGTCGTTGGAGAGCTCCGCGGACGAAGAATGGTGCAGCATAAACTTTCCCGCCGCCCTGAGGCAGGCGCCCCCGACGGCGAAACAGTTTCTGCTATACATATATATGTATATATATATATATATATATATATATATATATGTATATACATTTCTCTCTCTCTCTCTCTCTTGTTCTTCCTGCCCGCGCGCACGAGGACGCCGGGGTGGTGTTCAGCGCCGGGGTCGACGAGACCCTGCGCGCCTGGCGGTACAGCGGCGGCGCGCTGGCTCCGCTGGCACTCGTCGAGGGCGCGCACGCGGAGGGCGCCGCCTCCCTGTACTTCGACGCCGCCTCTTGCAGACTCTTCAGCGGCGGCGCCGACGGCGCCATCCGGGTGTGGCGGTGGACCGCAAGCGGCAGCAGGCTCGAGCCCTTGGGGGGCCTCGAGGAGGCACACGTCGGCTCGGTGTCCGCCCTGCAGCTGTACGCCGCGACGCAGGTGCTGGTCAGCGCGGGGATGGACGGCGCGATCTCCACGTGGCGCGTGGCTCCCGACGGCGGGGCCCTGACCCCGCTGCCCGCGTGCCAGCGGGAGTGCCACAAGGGGGTGCTGGCGCTGCAGCTGCACGGGCCCTCGCGCACGGTACTCAGCACGGGCGTCGACGGGGCGGTCAGGACGTGGCGCCTGGATCCTCGGGGCGAGACGCTGGAGTGCCTGTCTGAGATGCCGTCGGCGCACAGCCGGCGCGTGTTCGCGATGAGTGTGGACCATGGGTGGCCCACGCCCGTGGTGGTCACCGGGGGCGCCGACGCGGCGGTGCGCGTGTGGCGGGCGTCCGAGAGCGGAGAGCTGGAGCTGGTCTCCTCCTGCGACGACTGCGGGCAGGCCGTGATGGCGGTGGCGCTCGACGCCGCCTCGGGCGTGGCTCTCAGCTCCGGCATGGACGGGGAGATCAAGGTCTGGCGCTTCGGCGCCAGGCAGCTCAGCCCCGAGGCCGCGCTCCAGGGTGTGGACGCGGAGAGCCGCAGCGACGGCATCCTGATGCTGCGGTGGCACGCGGCCTCCGAGGTGGCGCTCAGCATCGGCGTGGACGGCGCCCTCAGGGCCTGGTCCGTGGAGGTGAGCGGCTTCGCCCGCGTCGCCGCTATCCAGGCCCACCACGGCTGGTGTCGGGACATGCGGTTCGACGGGGCGTCGGGCTTGGCAGTGAGCTGCGGCGACGATGGCGCCATCAAGATGTGGAGCGTGTCAGGCAGCAGCGTCGTGGAGCTCGCTGCCGCGTTTGGCGCCCACCCGGACGGCGCTCGGGCGCTGCTTATCGACGGCAAAAGGGGGGTGGTAGTCAGCGCTGGCGACAATGGCGCCATCAGAGCCTGGCGGCTGCAGGTGGGGTCTCTGACCCCGCTGACCACTTTCGAGACCGCCCACGACATGACCATTCTGAGTCTGCAGCTGGATCACGCCGCCGCCGCTGCCTCCGCGGCAGGCCAGGAAGAGCACCACCCGGGGCAGGCGGTGATGCTGAGCGCCGCGGTCGACGGGACCATCAAGGCCTGGCGCATGGAGGCGGAGGGCAGCGTGCTGCGGGAGGCGGCCTGCAGTCGCCACGGCGACGCAGACGCTCAGATGGCGCTGGCGCTCCACTCGGAGTCCGGCACGGTGATCAGCGCCGGCATGGACGGGTCGATACGCGCGTGGCGCTTGGCCGGCGGCCAGATCGTGCCGCTGGCGGTCGCCACGGAGGCCCACGGCGGCTACGTCCGAGGCCTGCAGTACCACAGCGCCAGCGGCATCGTGGTCAGCGCGGGCGAGGACGGCGCGATCAGGAGCTGGCGGCTGGCGGGCGGCGAGCTGACTCTGGAGGCGGCGGTCCCGGAGGCGCACGCGGAGGGCGTCTGCTCCGTGCACCTCGACGAGGACCAGGGGCTGCTGGTGAGCGGCGGGGACGGCGGCGACGTGAAGGCCTGGCGGGTTGGCGGGGGCGCCCTAGAGCTGCTGGCCGCGCTGCCAGGCGCCCACGGGGGCGGCAGCTGCCGCGTGCAGGTGCTCCCGCGCGGCTGCTGCGCGGAGCCCGAGGCGCCGGAGGTGGGCGACGCCGCCGCGCTGGTGCAAAGCGAGGACTGGACGGCGCCAGCCGTGTGCCAGACACTTGGCGCCTCGCCTTTTTCGAGACCCGGGCCCCCAACCTCTCGACCACTTCTTGCCCGGCAGCGGCCCCTGGCTCCACGGGCCGCCTCTCCTCTTGGCGGCCCCTCGCGGCCCAGCGAGGGGCCCCTGGAGGCTGAAAACTGTGAGTAGCCTCCGCCCCGATTTTCTCGAGGCGCCCGACGTCTGGGGCGGGCTTCGTCCAAGAGGACCTGCCCGCCGGCCCCGCGGTCCTCAGCGCTGGATCGGACGGCGCGCTGCGCCTCTGGCGGCTCTGCGGCTGCGAGCTGCGCCCACTGCTGGCCGCGGAGGACGCGCACCCGGGCGGCGTGCTGGCGCTCCACGTGGCCGGCCGCAGCGGCGTGACCGTGAGCACCGGGGTGGACGGCGGGATGAAGGTGCTCTGGGCAGCCGTCAGCCACGCGCAGAGGGGGGCAGGCGGGGAGGAGGAGGAGCAGGAGGAGGACGAGGAGGAGGAGGAGGAGGCGGAGGAGGAGGAGGAGGAGGAGGAGGAGGAGGAGGAGGAGGAGAGGAGGAGTGGAGGAGGAGGGAGGAGGAGGAGGAGGAGGAGGAGGAGGAGGAGGAGGGAGGAGGAGGAGGAGGGAGGAGGAGGAGGAGGAGGAGGAGGAGGAGGAGGAGGAGGAGGCAGAGGAGGGGAAGGAGGAGGAGGAGGAGGAGGAGGAGGAGGTGGCAGAGGCGGGGGAGGACCTGAGTGGGACCCGAGTGGGACCTGACTGGCGCTGACCTTCTGACCCCTGGCGGTGGCAGGAAGTCTCCCGAGGCCCGTGGGTCGGCCGGGGCTCGGGCCTCGCCGACACCAGCATTTGTCGGCCACGCGCAGAGGGGGGCAAGGGGGAGGGGGAAGGCTTCTCAGACACACCCCTGCTTCTCAGAAGGCGGGGGCCTTGTCTGTAGAAGTGGGGCCGGCGCCTTCTAAGAAGCAGAAACCATGGTTTGCGCCACCAGCGGGCGGCGAGGCCATGCCGCCGCTGGTCGGCCGCATTCTTCGCATCGCGCTTCTTTCGCCCCTCCTGCTCTTTATCTCCTCTCTCTCTCTCTCCCGTCCCCCGCTTCCTTCCGGCCTGTCCTATCATGGTGGGCTCCCCATGCCAAACAAATAGTTATAATGTCCCCTCTACAAAACTCCTTCGGCGACTACATGGACATTGCCAGTTTTGTAGGGGGATATCGTATATCCCTTACAAACTCCTTCGGCGACTACAGATAGTGTGGTTAACGCTGGGGTGTGGTTGGCGATCTGCGTCGTTGGGGCCTGGGGGGCACGACGTTGCCTCGTCGGGCCTCCTCGGTGCGCGGCGGAGAACTCTGTCGAGGTCCTCGCCCGCCCCCCAGGGGGCGGGTTGCAGCTCGCACCCTGTGCAGACCACATCCTTCGGAGTCGCCGGCTCACTCGGACGGGGTGAGGACCGGGAGAAGTCGATTCAGAGCTCTCAGGAACTCAAGGCCTCCTAGATGGGGCCGGAGTAGATGTGGTCGGAGGATCGCGCCGCATCGCCAAAGCATCGACGGCGCGGCTCGATGTGGAGCCGGTGTTTCCCCACGCCGACGTCGCTGGAGCGTCGTCGACATCGCCGGTGCATCGCCGATGCGTCGTCGATGCATCGCCGATGCATCGGGGATGCGGTGCGATTCTCCGACCCCAGCTACTCCGACCCCATCTAGGCGGTCTCCAGGAGCGCTCTCGGAGCGTCCCGGAGCGCTCTGGAACGGCCGCGGCGCCTGCTCCAGAGCCGCCGGGCCAAGACTGCCGACGTCATGATGTTTGCACAACATCGATCTCCAGAGGTCTATAGTCAGGAGGGGAAAAAACACACAGACACAATTAGTCGTCGATTCCCAGGAAAATATGGAAAAATATGGGCAGTGGGGGGGAAGACGAAAACCCTGAAAATATGGGAAAATATAGGGAATCCTTTTATTTGTGTGTATTTACTTGTGTGTCCCAGGGCCCCACCGCCGAAGTGAGGGCCCCCCGATGCCGGAAATATAGCGAAGAGCATCCCGCTGTGATCTTTCACAGCGCGAGGGGGTCTCGGGATCTCAGAGATCCCCGAGGTGTCTTGGGCCGATGTCGTCCCTGGGCCTCGCCGCATGCTGCAGCGTGCGCCGCCCCTGGGCGAGCCCGTCCTGGGCCCAGGATCGGTGCGGGGCCGCCCTCCCAGCTCAGCCAGGGGTGGGCGTCTGCTTGGGTAGGTGTTGTCGAGTGGTTTGGTCGATGCGGTCCAAACGTTGGTCGGACTTGTAGATGTTTGGAAGACTGTTGGTCGAAAGGTTGGTCGACACTTGGGTCGAGTTGTTTCGAGGTGGACTGTTGCGGTCGGCGGCTCGGGGGAGCGCGCCAGATTTGGGCCCCGGGAAAGTGAAAGTCCGATCGAGCGCCCAAGGACGTCTCATCCCGCTTGCGGGAACGGCGCGCTTCCATGCAGGAATAGGAACACAGAGGACGGACAAATGCAGCTAATGATCATACCCAATCCAACAATTGTTCGCCAATCTAATGGGAGCGTCGTGCACAACACGCTCCAAGCTGGTATTGAAGCGATCTCTGAAGAATCGTCGATTGAATCGGCCCACGTCCTTCTCGGACGGCCATTTCTACGCGAACCGTCTGGACGCCAACGCAAAGCTAGAGATGGCCATCTGTGCCGTTCCGCGCAGATTGCATTTTTTTACAACGATTCGTGTCTACTACCTCGAACCAGTCCGGCACTCTGTAAATAGTCATTGCTCGTTCTACTCTGCGCTTACATTGACTCCCAGCCTCCTCCCAAGACTCGTGATCAGCTTTGCGAAACCCATTCGATATTCTTGCTCCGTCGTGTCGTCAGCGGTGCTGTGGCCAGGCTGTGCTGTACACGGCGGTCGGCGTGACAACGCTGTCGAACAATGTCAAGCGCATCTTCAGCGACACGCGTTTGTTGATGAGAGTTTTCTTGAAGAAGGGCCACTTGGACCATGCATACTGCATCCAGTATTCTAGATTGCACGAGGAACGTTCTCAGAGATCTCCGTGGAACCGCTTCCTTAGGTACTTGTGCAGGTTTGTTTTCAACATCACCGGCAAACTGCAATCATAGACTTCCAGTTGCATGGATCTCTCGAATGAAGCAATATCAGGGTCATTTGTGTTTACTTTGGTCTTGCTCGCATTCGGCTCCAGACCGCTCTGGGGCAATTCTTGGCGGAGGACGGCAAGCATGCGGGAAACGTCTTCCGGAAAAACGCCGTGAAAGAAATATGTCGTCAGCATAACGCACGTTGGTCAAACGTTCGGCCGCCCCGAGGTCGAACCCTATGCCTTGGACGCGGTCTTCGAGTCGACGCAAGGCTTGCTCAAGACCTGCGTTGAAAAGGAGCGAGTTCATACCGTCCCCCTGCTTGCTCCCCGCATCTGATGTCGAACTGCTTGTTACTGAATACGGTCCCGAACTGGCCAGTATACACATCCGACAACAGACAAAGATACTGATGATGCACCCCTTGATAAAGGAGGGCGTCGACTAATGCCGGGTGTTCGATTCTATAGATCGCCTTGGTAAGGTCCACGCTGACGATCCAAATTTTTGGGGCACGCTCCCATGATGTACCATATACTTGTTCAAGGACCACGAAAGCATCGAGCGGCCTCTTGAGAATCGAGCAGTGGTTGAATGCGTCCAAAAAAGAGCTCAGAGAAGATGTTGTACGTCATTTTGGGCAAAGCTATTTGCCTCCAATTCTTGAAGTCCTTCCGCGGGCCGCTCTCATGAAGCGTCGTGGAAAAGGTCCCGTGCCAGCAGGGCTCGAGGACCCCTGTTTGGAGCATGCTGTCGAAACGAAACACAAGAACATCCCAACCGCCTGTCGCCACCACGCACACACATTTTGAGGGTGATGCCGTCCTTGTCTGAGCACTTGGCCTTCTCTTCATTTTCCGTAACGCAGATTGCAGCTCGATCATCTCGCATGGCTGGATGTAGTGTCGACCTCTCTTGCAATGCGTGAGCCACAGAATTGGCATGCCTGTGATGAGACAATATTGCTGCTCCTGCGAACTTTTTCTCGGACAACGCGGACGTGAAACGATGGCTTCCTGAGAAAGCATGGTCAGATGATTGTGTCCTGGCTATGCTCAAATAAACAACGTCCCACTCAAGTGGAGTTCACGCGCGCGTTTTGGTTGCGAAGATCTTGAACTCGTGTTGAGGGCGCTGTTGGTCCCCAGTTCCATCTACGACTTCTGAATTTATGACGTTGTTGGCGCTCGATCGGTGCTCTCCCTCAGACCTGCCTTTAACTTTACCCCTGCCCTTCTCTGACTCCTTTCCCTGGCCTGTCGCTTTGGATTTCTTTGTCAGTTTCTCCTGGGCGGCGTAAAACAGTTCGTCGAACTTCGGGCCCTGAAGCTCCTGCTGCCAACCGTCCCCGAAAGAGAGCTCCAGAGCGTACCCGGAAGCCTGGAGTGAAGGCATTTTCTCGTTACCTGAGTAAAAGGTGGCGCCTTCCTTGTCTACGTACAACGCGTTTCGGGGCCATCTGCATTCCACCATAAGGCTTTTGCACGGAGAGCGCGAAAGACTCAGGCGGGCACTGTTCAAGAGAAAGGCCGGGCTTACACAAAACTGTAGTGCCATTCCACGTGGATCGAGAAGTCCAGATTTTACTGATAGCGCGGTCTTGGTCAACCCCTGAAGCGAACTCGGCGCACAGAAGGCCTGAAAACATGCTCTTGGCATAAATGCTGTTGGACACTGGACCTCCGTCACAACTGAGGCGGTCTCGCAACCATTTGGCCACACCATCTTCAGACCAGTCCGTTTTTAAGCCCCGCCATGACGAAATTGAAGGGACCCAACGAAAGCCTACTTATCTTGCACTCGAGATCCAAGACCTTCGCTCGAAGCTCGGCCTCGGCCTCAACAGTTCCCCCTCCTCTGAGATTGAGCTTGCCAGGGAAGCCGCGTTCCCCACATGTTTGCCGCCAAGTCTTCAATCTTTGCCTTATGCGCAGACAAGCTCG